CAGACAGAAAAACCTTACACATTGCCATTTTATTCAAGTAGCCTTCATGACACACGGACAGAGCTTCTCCTATTCAGTTTCAGTCACAAGACCCTGAAAAAATAGTAGTTTCCCTATATGAACAGAAGACTGATGTAGAGACACTGCAGACTTGTGGTAAGAGCTTACCCACTCCAGATCCTGATACAGAACACAAGCACTTTTACTCAGCTCTACTGCAGTTGCACCCCTAGCTGTCATTGTTGGATAAAACAACCCTCACCTCTGCCAGAGAGGTTAGTAATTGGAGTGAAAGAAATGTGTAAGACTGAGGTAATACTCAAAGGATAACACGATATATGGGGGTATGAAAAGGGACCGTAAACTGAGGTAGAAAAATATGTCCAATTGTCATGAGATAGTATTGTATTCTGTAACCTTACTAAAATCAATGACATTGCAATGTTTTCAGTTTGACATTATTCTGATATTTTGAAAACTATGCAATTATCAACATTATAGGACTTTTTGTTAGGGACTATTAAATTATAAATGTTACAATCAGGAACGTATCTTAGAGTCATCAAATCAGCTTCATTGTCATCTTTGCATCAGAGTGAGGGGAAAGTGGAGGTTTTGACACTGCTGGGATCATTCTATTTGCTGTCATGATAGGAAGAGGCATTGTTTTATTTTCCTTGTGTTCATGCTTAGGAAAATAATGGGAAAGGTCTTGTTGGAATGGTTGTAAGAAAATGAAGGTTGAACGATCAAGTAGGTTTCATCCCAGGGATGCAGGGATGGTTCAACATACGAAAATCCATCAACGTAATCCACCATATAAACAAGCTGAAAAACAAAAATCACATGATCATCTCACTAGATGCTGAAAAAGCCTTTGACAAAATCCAACACCCCTTCATGATAAAGGTCTTGGAGAGATCTGGGATAACAGGGACATACTTAAACATAATAAAAGCTATATACAGTAAACCAACAGCCAACATCAAACTAAATGGACAGAAACTCAACACAATTCCTCTAAAATCAGGAACAAAACAAGGCTGTCCACTCTCTCCATACCTTTTCAACATGGTACTTGAAGTTCTAGCTATTGCCATACGACAACAAAGGGGGATCAAGGGGATACAAATTGGGAAGGAAGAGGTCAAACTTTCACTGTTTGCAGACGATATGATAGTTTACATCAATGACCCAAAGAACTCTACCAGGGAACTCTTACAGCTGATTAACACCTTCAGCAAAGTGGCAGGCTACAAGATCAACTCAAGAAAATCAGTAGCCCTACTATATACAGATGATAAAAGGGCTGAAAGAGAAATCAGAGAAACATCACCCTTTACAATTGCCACAAACAACATAAAATACCTTGGGGTAACGCTAACCAAACAAGTGAAAGACCTGTATCGTAAGAACTTTGAATCTTTAAAGAAAGAAATTAAAGAAGCCCTCAGAAAATGGAAAGATCTCCCATGCTCTTGGATAGGTAGGATCAATGTAGTAAAAATGGCAATCCTGCCAAAAGCAATCTACAGATTCAATGCAATCCTCATTAAAATCCCAGCACAATTCTTCACAGACCTTGAAAGAACAATAATCAATTTTGTATGGAAAAACAAAAGACCCAGGATAGCCAAAACAACCCTGTTCAACAAGGCAACGTCCGGAGGCATCACCATCCCTGACCTCAAGCTCTATTACAGAGCTATAGTCCTGAAAACAGCTTGGTATTGGCACAAAAATAGACAGGTAGACCAATGGAATCGAATTGAAAATCCGGGTATTAACCCACACACGTACGAACATCTGATCTTTGACAAAGAAGCTAAAAATATACAATGGAATAAAGAAAGCATCTTCAACAAATGGTGCTGGCATAATTGGAGACTGGCATGTAGAAGAATGCGGATCGATCCATGTTTATCGCCATGCACAAAATTTAAGTCCAAATGGATCAAAGACCTCAACATAAATCCAGCCACACTGAACCTCTTAGAAGAGAAAGTGGGTGGTACCTTTGAATGAATTGGTACAGGAGACAGCTTCCTGAACATAACACCAGTAGCACAGACAGTGAGATCAACAATTAATAAATGGGACCTACTGAAACTGAGAAGCTTCTGTAAGGCAAAGGACACAGTCAGCAAGACAAAAAGGCAGCCCACAGAATGGGAAAAAATATTCACTAATCCCACATCTGACAGAGGGTTGATCTCCAAAATTTACAAAGAACTCAAGAAGCAAGTCTCCAAAACAGCAAAGGACCCAATTAAAAAGTGGGCTGCAGAACTAAATAGAGAGTTTTCAATAGAGGAGTCTAAAATGGCTGAGAGGCACTTGAGAAAGTGCTCAACATCCTTAGCCATTCGGGAAATGCAAATCAAAACAACTCTGAGATACCATCTCACTCCTGTCAGAATGGCTAAAATCAAAAACACCAGTGACAATTTATGCTGGAGAGGATGTGGTGAAAGGGGAACACTCCTCCATTGCTGGTGGGAGTGCCAACTGGTTCAGCCACTTTGGAAATCAGTATGGAGATTCCTCAGAAAAATGGGAATAAACCTACCACAAGACCCAGCAACTCCACTCTTAGGCATATATCCAAAAGATGCCCATTCATACAACAAAGATGTCTGTTCCACTATGTTCATAGCAGCTTTATTTGTAATAGCCAGAACTTGGAAGCAACCTAGATGTCCCTCACCCGAAGAGTTGATAGAGAAAATGTGGTACATCTACACAATGGAGTACTATTCAGCAGAAAAAAATAATGGAATCATGAGATTCGCAGGCAAATGGATGACACTAGAAGAAACCATCCTGAGTGAGGTAACCCAGTCACAAAAAGAGAAACATGGCATGTACTCTCTCATATATGGATTTTAGACATAGATCTGGGGAGTGCCAGCCTACAATCCTATGGCCAGAGAGTCTGGGAAACAGAAACTTCATTTAGTGGCGGTTAAGTACTGAGCTGAACTCAAGAAAGCCAGTAACAGAGAGGGAGGACTGATGATCAAAGGGATTAAGACTGGGCTGGCTTAACCCCCAGAAACAGCTGACCAGACAAAGGTTAACTCTTGAATCCCAGGCATCAGCCTGGGAATCCAGCATGGGACTGATCAATACCCCCCTGAATTTGGGTGTCAGTGAGGAGGCCTAGGGAACCTATTGAGCCTTGGGCAGCAGATCAGTACCCATCCCAAGTATACACACGGACTTTGGACTCCCATAGAACAATGTGAGGTGCACTCTCACCCTGAACTCTTGGGGAAGGGTCTAGGCCCTGCCCTATATGAAATGACAGACTATGGACACCCCCATGGAGGGGGGGTTGGGGGGAGGGCACGGGAGGAGGGGAGGGAATGGGAGAGGGACCTGGAACTGACTTGTGAAGCAACCTCGTTTCTTATCTAAATTTAAACTGGAAAAAAAAGAAAGTTATTTGAATGCATGTTAAACATTAATGTAATTTTTGAAAGGTTAAAAATAAATAAATAAATAAATAAAAGAACAAAAAAAAAGAAAAGAAAATGAAGGTTGAGAATGTCAATGAGATTTCCTCAACACTACTATTTGTGATTCCAAATCAGGAGACTAGAAAATTTGTCTACCCTCATTGTCATCATTATCTTACATACCACAGAAACCTAATGAACAAAAGCAATAGAATAACATAGAGGAAAACCTGTGAAGAGAAAACACTGACTCAGTAGTGAAAGAAATGAGAAAACATTGACCAACTAGCTAGACAGCAACCTGCAGGAAATTCACAGCATAGCGATTAGATCTCCCAGTGACAAACAGATAAATACAGAAAGAGGGACACAGGCAGTGACATGATTTGTAGCCAAATGACCAAAATTTTGTTTTGATAGTAGGATGGATAAAATGTGTACAGAGATCATGCATTTACTCAGAAATAAGCACCTACTATGTGTGAAGGGAGCACCACTCTGGATGATGAGGTTGCAGCTGTAAACAAACGGGACTATGCTTTTCCTTGTAGAGTTTATATATAATTGTCTGTGTGCAGTCAGTGAGATTTGAGTACCTGCCTCAGAGACTCTGTGATGCTGAATGCCAGCAAGAAAAAACACTTACATGGAAATTAAGATTTTTGTTTAGAGATGGCATTACATCAAGCAGAGTGATCTAGGCAGACCCTCCTCTGAGATGATTCTGGAGTCATGTTCTGGAAGCTGTTGAGGACTGAGGCTGAGTATCTGAGAGACGAGTCTTCTAGGAAGCTGGGCATGCAAATGCAAAGGGACCACATTCCTGTGATGTTGTAGGGGAACATGCATGCCTGGTGTGGTATGAAGATCAAGTCAGGAGGAGTGATGACAGATGGGAAGGCATTTGGGAGACATTCCATAGGTCCAGATCAGCTTGAGGGGAAAGTCATTGACCTGTCTTGAATAGTGGGGATGACTTAGCATTCTGTGGATACCAAAGAATTCCCGAAGCAGGTACTTCTATAAAACTCATGTTCATGTGACCCCCTTCAATGATTAATGACTGTTCTCTTCAATCTAATCTACTACAGACCAGTCCCAATGAGCCCAACTTCCTGGACAGGATATCTATGCACTTTCTTATATCTTAGGGATAAGAAACAGTGATCTCTCCAGTCACTAAAATAACTTATATTTAGTTAAAATAGATCAAAGAAACACTTTTAGGGAAAAAGAAAGACAAGGAAGGAAAGAAAGAAAGAAAGTAGGAATGAAAGATAGAAAGAAAGTTGGAAAGAAATGAAGGAAAACAAACTACTGTTTATTAAATAGTGCTTTGTGTGTGTATGTGTGTGGTGCCTGTTTGTAAAACAGTGCACACAGAGTGTAGCACTATCTCCAGTTTCAGTCAGTCCACTAGGAGTGTTGGAAATAATCCTTGCACTTAAGGGAGATCTCATGTGGTGACAAACCCACCTCTGATTTTTCTCTCAGATGTACTCAAGAGGATTTAACAAGTGTATTCTTTGTTCATCCTAGATGCCTGTCGGTGCCCACACTGGCACCAGTTGGCTCTGAAACTCAGCTGTGCTGGGCTGATCCTTCTTTTCTTGAGCCTGATTGGACTCAGCGTCTTAGGTAAGTGAAGCAATTGTTTTTGCTTCATAGTTTCCCACAAAAACATTACTCCTCTTTAAAGAATTTGGATACCTTGAACCTAGGGGAAGGTCAATGACATTGAACGTTACAGGACAACAACCCTTGTCCACTGTGGAAACTTCATAATTCTTCCATATTTAATTTTCTTGAGAAACATTATGTGGTGTGTCATATGTGCATTTAGAAAGTAGAAAAATATGTCACAAACATGACAAAATATGATAAAAATTAAGAAAAATAAAAGACTCCCTTTTAAACCTTCTCCTTGCTGTTGAGGTCTGGGGGAGCCTTCATGTTCCACTGCCCACCTCTGCCACTGTCTCAGCCACCTTCATGTAGTGAGGCAAATACTATTTTGACTAAGTCTCTGTTTTTTATTTTACAAATAAAGACTCAGGAGCCAGATGCTGGGGTGAAACCTGCTAGCTCAGGAAGTCAGAGAAAGCAGCTGGCTCACCTTCCTTCTCTTTCTTTTGTTTTGGAATATTCCTTTACATTGTATGAAAATGTGACATTGTTATTGATTTAATAAAGAGCTGGAGGTCCAATAGCTAGGCAGAAAGAGGTTAGGCGGGACTTCACCAGCCAGATGCAGAGATAGCAAGATGGGCAGTACAAAATAAAGGTAATTGAACCATGTAAAAGAACATGGTTTAATTTAAGTTATAAGAACTAGTTAGGAACAAGCCTGAGCTAAGGCCATACTTTCATAATTAATAATAAGTCTCTGTGTCATCATTTGTGTGCTCTCAGACCAAAGAAAAAGCCTGCTACAGCTGTTGTCCTAGAAATAGTTTCTCCTATACCATCTGAAACAAAGTTTCCTCTAACCAGATGTTCCTCCCTTCTACTTTCTGTGCCCCTCTCTCTCTCCAAACTCCCGACTTTCCTTCATTCTCTATGGTTGCTCCAAGTCAACTGGTTGCTTGCTTCATCTTTTGACCTATGGCTAATTTTATCTAAATAATGCAATCTTGGGGTTCATAGTGAGATCAAATATCCTGAAACAGAGAAATAAAGTACATGTTCCACCATTTGCTTCAGCATTTGATTCTCTTTCTGTATTTTCTTTTTAACTAGTGCGAGTCTTAGTGCTAAAATCACCAATAGCAAAATACAGTGTGGCTACTCAAGAGAACAGGACTGAACCAACAGGTAATTGTGTGGCTTGAATTTCCTGGGAATAAGAGGTGATTTTTGATATGTACTGTGAGTTACCTCAATCAATGTTCAAAACATCCCTCCATGAAGACACTAAGTCACCATGGTTTTAACTGACTAAACAGCCATAAAATGTTAAGAACTCATGGAGAGTCACACAGTTTATAATTTCAGGTGCTGGGAACTTCACTGAAAATGTGTGACCTTGAAGTCTATGATCTTAGGTACCTGGACATGCTGCCTCAGGCTGCTGCTGGTGTACATGATCCTTAATAGGCAAATATCAAGTTAAGAAGTTGAATATTTTGTTATTTTAATGAACACATTGAACATTTTACTTTATCTGAAGTTAATTAATAGAAACAAATCATAAAATGAATCCTTTGTCATTAATTTGGATTCCTTGACACATGACAGCATTATCCTTGTTCTAGCACGCTCTGATGAAGCAGCTGCTGTGTGGAGTTGATTGTGGTGCAGCAGGAACAGGGCAGAAATAAACCTGTGTTCTTTCTTACTCTAGGGGGATCAGCCATGCTAAAGTGCCCGAGAGACTGGCATTCATACCGAGAGAAATGCTTATTTACTTCTCAAACTTCTGGACCTTGGTCTGAAGGTCTAACTGATTGCTCTGTGAAAGAAGCCACTTTGCTGATCATTGAAAATGAAGAAGAATTGGTAAGTTTCTCAGTTAGAACATAACACTTTTTAAAAGCTGCATTGGCATCTCTGGACTTTAACCATTTGTCTCTGCTGAGGAAGTGGAGACTTGGATTTTAAACACCCCATAATCTGAGAGAATAATTGAATTCATGATTTAATAACTGAACATATTGGGATAAATCAATTAAAAGTACAAATATAGTGAGATGATTTTCACAAAGAAGAGAGAATTATGCTGATGAGGAGGTAGCATGGACTTCAAGTAGCAGTAACAGTGTTTTAGAAGGTTAGTAGAAGAAAATAGATCATGAGTAAATAGATTGAAGATTAAGTCTCCCACTATGTTTTAATTATAGAGATTCATTCATGCTTTTTCAAAGAGAAAAGGACATCAGTTTTTTATTGGACTAAATTATGTGCCAGTGGAGAAAATCTGGAAGTGGATAAATGGCTCTATCTTAAATCCTGATCTGTAAGTATTAAATGAGATAATTTTAATACTCAGTTCACATCCATGCCATTGAAATTTTAATTTTGTAATTTTAATTAAATATATAAATTCTCAAGAGGGTCAGAATAGGCTGAAAAGGCCGTTTCAAGACTGATTAAAAATTATCATGTGCAAGCAGACATCAACCCTTTATAATTGTGTGTGTGTATGTATGTGTGATTGTATTTATTTTCAGTGGAGTTTTAAAGAACAAGATTAACTTTGTAGGGTTGGAGATAAAATATTTTAAATTTTCCTATCTGGAATACATAGGGTTTTTTCTTTCTTTTTTCACTTTTACACTTCCTATACTTACATATAATTAAAGTTTTTTCTTTTATTTGTTTTCTTTTATTTTTGTATACCTGAGTGTATGTATGTGTATGATGTATTTCGAGAACTCATAAAGGTCAGAAGAGGGCATCAGATTTTCTGGAACAGGAGTTACAGGTGGTTGTAAGCTTCCATGTGGGTACTGGAACTTGAATCTGGGTCCTCTGCAAGAGCAGTAAGCACTCTTTACCTCTCAGCCATCTCTCCATTCCTGCACAGAAACCCTTAAGCAGTACTTCAGAATTGCGGGAAAAAAGTTGCACCACAGTCTCTAGACTGTGTTCACTCTGTATGTTGATTACATTTACTGAGCACCTACTGTGTGCAACTCTTGTCATAAATTCATGTATATCTTAATAGTTTTCCTAAACATTAGTAGGTTATACACCATGTATTTAAAAAATTTATAGCTCAGTAAAATGGATATGCTTTCCACATGGTCACATGACATGTTAGTAGTAGAAAGAGGAGTTTTCACCCCCAATTCCCAAACCTTCTCCCTTTTATACATCATTATGAAGATTCTTGCTGGAAGAATGTTCTCTAGTGAGGGTGAAACTGAAGATTATAGAGTTCTATCAACTGTATCTTTAATGTTTATATGTGTTTATAATGTTTGCTACTGTGTGTTTACTCTGCTTAAACACTGTATAATCAACAGTATCCTTAAAAGTCTAAAGAAAAATAATGGTTGATGTGATAATTATGAGAAAATTCTAAACGCTAGGTTCAACTTTGCTCTTTAGAGTACAAATCATGGGCAGTAACGAAGAAAACAGCTGTGCAGTCATCTCACAGACAGAAGTGTTTTCTGACTTCTGTTCTGCAGACAACCGCTGGATCTGCCAAAAGAAGCTGAAACATGACTCAAACCCTGTGTCCTGACTCCTGACTGCAAAACTCATCTCCATTGCTTTACCTTCCACCCCAGATCTCTGCACTGAACCGTCAAGCCCTCCCAGCACAGTTAGTGGCACAAAGCATGGTTCATAAAACCTCTGTGACTCACAGACGCTCACTTCCAATGTCTTTATTCTGTAAATGTAAATGTACACAGACACAGATGCCATCCTAAGAGAGGTGCTCTATAGGAGGAAGCCCAGGCCAGCAGGGGGCACTGGAGGCCTTGTGTGACTTTTGTTGATCTCCGTCCCTGAGGTCATAGTAGACAACTGCAAAAAACTGTTTGCAAAGTCCTCATCTCTGCCCTCAACTCCAAGCTATCTCATATCTGGGCTGTAGAACCTTGATTAAAGTCTTTGCTCCTGACTGACACCAGAGGCCCAGAGTTGGCAGGGGAAGAGTTTGTTTTTATTGACACCTCCAAAATTCACAATTGACTAATGCTGTGATAATGAGAGTGACTGCAGGTAAATGAGCTCAGTCCATATGATGCCTCCCACCCTGTAGTGATGTACCAGCAGAACCTGGGCTTGTCAGTCTACAGAGCTGTGAGACAGGAGGGTCTCTCCTCCTCCAATTTCCTGTTATGGCAAAAACAACAACAAACTGAATTAATATAATGATTGTCTTTTTCCACTGTTCCAAAGACCTTCCAATTTTTTTTTCTCATCACTTCTTCTACACCTCTCTATAGCTTACTGCTCAAGAACAAATTGTAGGAAGTATGCAGCTGATATCTTGGTTATTTTAATATAAAATAAGTAACATCTTTTCAATCTTCATTTAGAGAAATTAACATAAAATTTATTCTGATAAATATCCTTCCTTCCTTCCTTCCTTTCTTTCTCTATTCCTCCCTCCCTCCCTCCCTCCCTTTTGTTCCTTTCTTTTTTTTTGTTTCTGGTGTTTGGAGACAAAGTTTGTCTGGGTAACCTAACAGCTCTGTCTGTCCTGGAACTTGATTTAGACCAGGCTGGTCTTGAACTCACAGAGATTCACCTGCCTCTGCCTCCTGAGTGCTGGGATTAAAGCATGTGCCTCTTCTGTCCAGCTCTGATGTCTACTTTTATATAAAAAAAAGCACTGACATATTTTCCAGTGTAATAAAAGAATAAGATTGAGTTTATTTTATAAGGAGGCATAAGAAAATTTCTGTTAAACAGGCATCTAATCACTCAATGTCAACTTTAATTACTGTAATTGAAGCATATAGTATGACCCAAATAAAATGTAATTTAAAAATAATATTTACATTAAAATTATTTTATGTGTATGGGTGTTCAGCTTACATGTGTGTATACCATGTGCATGCAGTGCCCTTGGAAAACAGAAGGGGACTTTAGATTACATGGGACTGAAGTTATAGATGGTTACAAGTTGCCATGTGGGTACTGGAATCAAATCTTGGTCCTTTTCAAGAGCAATCAGTGCTACTAACCACAGAGCCATCACAAAATCTCTATATTATTTCTTGTCAGAAATAACTATTTATATTGTTGGTGATCATAACTTTCAAATGTATGAAACATTAAAGAACAATTCATTTTGAGAAAATTCTTGGGATATTAAAAAAATCTAGGAAAGCTGTTCAGAGAAAAGCAGCACTATAAATCCACCATTAAAACAGTGATATTTGCAACTGTTAAGAGAATATAGCTAAGCAGATATGAGCAGGAGGCAGGCAAGGTCATGCTCACCCACCTGTTTCTAGTTAGATACCTTCTGAGCAGGGAGACACTCAAGGACACTACGGCTTTTACCTGTTGGCTGTGTCTTCTGATATTGTAATGCCTCTTTGTGGTTAGACACCCTTGAAGTTACAGTTAGGCTCCTCCTGCCATTTAAGAAATTAAGACACCAGGGGCTTTCCCAATGACCATACTTGCCATCATCAGTGAATATGCCAATGATCAGGGAAGGAAAAACCCTGGGGATGTCTTGTATCTGGAACAATTTCTTTAATATAGGATAGAGGATGTTCTCAAGAGGAGAGCATAAAATGGCATCATGGAATTGAGACCATAAGTAATTTCTCTAAATTCTACCATGCAGAGCTCAGTGGACTACTGCTATCTTCAGCCTGGAGTGTACATTCATTTTGAGGTTCTTTGCTTTGTTAAGCAAGCTTCTGCTCAAGCCATCTTGGGCAATTTTTTTCTGTCAGCAGACATGAATAGCAGAGAAGTTGTCACTTAGTAACAATGACTTGACACCATCAGAACACAAATCAGAGGGGAATATTCTTATAATTGACAATGTGCCTGCAGCCTCTTGAGATTGTGTTGGTACCTGGGTTCTGGTGCTGTTGAAGATGAGATGGGCCCTTCTTAATGGTCAGTTCATCACACATGTTAGAACTGAAATCAAGTAACCCTAACATTAGCAGGAATGTTTTCCCATGACACCTACCCCAAGAAAACAAATTATCTGTCACTTTTGTTTCAGCATTAAGTTACTATTTGATTGGATCCTACTGAGGTCTATTTAAACTATGAAGGTGAAATTCCACCAGGAATCCATGTTTCACTGTACTTCATCAGGCTAAAAATATCAGGACTAGTTGGGATTATTACAGGTGTGCACACTCACCTTTCAGATCTGAGTCAGTGTTTCATGGTGTACTTTACTACTACTACTAGAAACCACAACAAAAGAAGATGTTAGTCTGGTGTTCAAGCATGACCCTCTGCTAATTACCAAGCTAGAGAAGAGATGACTCTTTTGAGGATATGGATCAAAGGAAAACTGCCCACCTTGGCGGGAATGAAAACTCACATGGCTGTCATGAAAAACAACATTTGGGCTCCTCTACTTAAAAGTTAAAAAAATGCATCCATTGCGCCACCAAACAATCTCATTGTCCATATATCCTGAGAAAAATTCTGAAATGTTCTAAAAGTTAATTTTGAAAGTTAGAGGATGAAGGAGGTTTATAATTTTCCATCCTTTTACCCTAAGGTGGTGTCAGTCTTTGTGAGGTGTGTTTCTTGGTCCTATCTTTTAATCCAATCTGCCAGTCTTTTTTCTTTGATTGGGGAAATTGAAGGGTTGACTTCCATGTCATAATTAACAGTCATGCATTAGTCACTTTGATTTAGTAATACTGTTATCTCCCCATTCCTTTCCTAATCATTTTCAAACAGTGGCCTCATGGGTGTGTCTGTCTTCAATATATATATACACATATATATTGAAGGGGATTTATTAGAATGACTTACAAACAGGCTACGGTCCAGAAAATCCTACAGTGGCTGGCTGTCAATGGAAAGTCCGTAAGGCTGGATGTCTCAGTTGGTCTTTGATAGACACTGGAATCATGATGAAGTAGGCTCTAATGCCAGTGAATATATGGAATCACTAGCAAGGATAGAGCAAGTAGGCTAAGAGCAAAAGTTTTCATGTTTTTGTACAGGTTTCCAGCAGAAGGTGTGGCCCAGATTAAAAGTGTGTCTTCCTCCCCCAAGATTCAAATTAAAAGCATGTGTCTTCCTGATTCAAAGGTCCTGACTAGAAATGGATTCACCCACTTTAAACCAAGCAAAAATCTCTCACATGTATGCCCTCCATTTCTGTCTTGTAGTTCATTCTAGATGTAGTCACATTGACAGCCATGAACAACCATCACAGGTTCTGTTCCCAGAACCCTTGATGGTAACTGAAATGCCTGTAACTCCCCAGGATTTGATACCCTCTTCTGAATTCCATGGGATCCCTCAGGCATGTGGTCTACATGTAAATAAATGTACATCTTTAGGAAAAATCTAATTCTGTCTTCTGTGGAGCTGCCTATGATTATTTCAGACTGGAGGAATTTCTGTTTTCAGTGTAGTCTCTCTGCATGTCCAATTTGGCCACATACTTAGCATTAAATATATTCTGAATATTGTTTTACATATCAATCCCAGTTCCCTCTCCCTCCCATCCTCCCATATGTACCTCCTCCACCACTCACCATCCACTCCTCAGGGAGAGTGAGGCCATCCATGGGGGATCATCAAAGTCTGTCATATCATTTGGGGCAGGGCCTAGGCCCTCCCCTGTGTGTCTAGACTGAAAGAGTATCCTTCTATGGGTAATGGGCTCCCAAAGTTCATTCGTGCTCTAGGAATAAATACTGGTTCCACCACAAGAGGCTCCATAGACTGCCTAGGTTTCCTAACTGTCACCCAAGCTCAGGGGCCCTGGTTCAGTCCTATGTTGGTTCCTTAGCTGTCTGTCTGTCGTCCATGAGCTCCCACTTGCTCAGGTCAGCTGTTTCTGTGGGTTTCCCAGAATGGTCTTGACCCATTTGTTTATCACTACTCCTTCTCTACAACTGGATTCTAGGAGTTCAGCTCAGTGCTTAGCTGTGGATGTCTGGTGCTTCCATCAGCTACTGGATGAAGGCTCTAGAATGACATTTAAGGCAGCCATCACTCTCATTATAGGGGAAAGGCATTTAAGGTAGCCCTTCCCCTATTGCTTAGATTCTTAGTTGGGGTAATCCTTGTGGATTTTTGAACATTTCCCCTAGTGCCAGATTTCTCTTTAAAGCTATAATGGCTCTCTCTATTAAGGTATCTCTTTTCTTGCTCTCCTCTGTTATTCCCCTGTCTCAATCTTCTTAATCCCTCATGTTCTCCTTTCCCCTCCTCTTCTCCCCTCCTCTTTCTCCTACCTTCCTCCCTCTTTCCTTCCCCACTTCCCACTCTTGTGCTCCCAATTTATTCAAGGGCTCTTGTCCATTTCCCCTTTTCTGGGGGACTATGTATGCCTTTTTAGGTTCTTCCTTGTTTCTTAGTTTCTCTGGAGGTGTGGATTGTAAGCTGGCAATCCTTTGCTCTATGTCTAATATCCATATATGAGTGAGTGCATACCATGTTTGTATTTTTGTGACTGTGTTACCTCACTCAGGATGGTTTCTTCTAGTGCCATCCATTTGCCTGAGAACTTCAAAATTTATTTTTTTCCCACTGTGTAATACCACATTGTATAAATGTATCGCATTTTCTTTATCCATTTTTCAGTTGAGGGGCATCTAGGTTGCTTCCAGGTTCTGGTTATTACAAATAATGCTGCTATGAATACAGTTGAACAGATGTCCTTGCTGTATGGATGTGCATCCTTTGGGTAAATTCCTAAGAGTGGAATTGCTGGATCTTGAGAGAGACTGAATCCCATTTTCCTGAGAAACCACCAAACTGGCTGTACAAGTTTGTGCTCCCACCAGCAATGGAGGAGTGTTCCCTTTTCTCCACATCCTCTTCAGCATAAAATGTCATTGGTGTTTTTGATTTTAGCCATTCTGATGGGTGTGTGAGATGGTATCTCAGAGCTGTTTTGATTTGCATTTCCCTAATGGCTAAGGATGTTGAGCACTTTCTTAAGTGTCTTTCAGCCATTTTAGATTTCTCTATTGAACATTCTCTATTTAGTTCAGTACAGTACTTTTTAATTGGATTATTTGGTGTTTTGTTGACTATCTTCTTGAGTTCTTTGTATATTTTGGAAATTAGCCCTGTGTTAGATGTGGGGTTGGTAAATATCTTTTCCCATTCTGTGGGCTGCCATTTTGTCTTGTTCACTGTCCTTTGCCTTACAGAAGCTTCTGGGTTTCTGGAGGTCCCATTTATTAATTGTTAATCTCAGTGTCTGTGCTACTGGTGTTATGTTCAGGAAGCTGTCTCCTGAACCAATTTGTTCAAGGGTACCACCCACTTTCTCTTCTAAGAGGTTCAGTGTGGCTGGATTCATGTTGAGGTCTATGATTCATTTGGACTTACGTTTTGTGTTTGGCAATAGACATGGATCTATCTGCAGTCTTCTACATGCCAGCATCCAGTTATGCCAACACCATTTGTTGAAGATGTTTTCTTTTTACCATTGTATAATTTGAGTTTCTTTGTCAAAAATCAAGTGATAGTAGGTGTGTGGGTTAATATCAGGGTTTTCAAATTGAATCCATTGGTGTATCTGTCCATTTTTGTGACAATACCAAGATGATTTCAGGACTATAGCTCTGATGTGTTCTGGGGCTTGATTTGCCAGTATTTTTGAGTATATTTGCCTCAATATTCCTGATGGATATTGGTCTGTAGTTCTCTTTGTTTTGGTGTATCTGTCCATTTTTGTGACAATACCAAGATGATTTCAGGACTATAGCTCTGATGTGTTCTGGGGCTTGATTTGCCAGTATTTTTGAGTATATTTGCCTCAATATTCCTGATGGATATTGGTCTGTAGTTCTCTTTGTTAATTGTGTCTTT